ATTGTTTTGTTTTAAATTTTATATAATTATTTGGTATATCTTATATCAACTACTATCAACACTGCTTATTTAATGTATTTTTACAATAAAATTAAAATTTTAATGATAGCTTTTCATCTATTAAAATGTCTATATATGTGCAAAAATTTTGTTTTTTATAGCTAGACATGAGACAATGGGTTAAAAAATGATCTTAATTGTTAAGCATATTTTTACATTACATCTTTACATTTTCAGCCAACACAATGTCGGAATATTTTAAACACAAATATTATTTAGAATAGTTCTTAAAAATATTTGACATTTCAAAATAATACCAAATTTCATTTTAAAATTAAATGTTACTTAAGAAAGTTGTTTCCTTTCCTAAAAAATTAACAAACGAAAAGCAAGGAAAAAAACCCTAATCCAGTTAGCAATCTTCTTACCTTCCTTTAGTCACATGTAGTGCCAAGAATAAGGTGTCTATTTAACATGTTTCTTCTTTCCATGACTTGCAGTGAATTGTGGATATCTATCCATAAAGGAAATTGTGTGTGAATGCCAACATGCATAGAAATTTAATTCCTAACATATAAGTATCAAATCAAAACCTTAGACACCAGCCAATGCCGTCCCAAGAATGTAACACACTTGAGGACAAGCTTCCTCTTGAGCCAACTCTGTCAACAGACACCACTTTTATTTCATGTACTCCCATTCTCTGGCACCTCTTTTCTTCCTGCTATCACAAATACGATTTTTTTAAAAGCCACTATCAAGGTAGTAAAAATGGCTTTAATTTATACTTGGTGTATTCATTTGCTAGGGGTGCCATAACAAAACACCACAAATGGGGTGGGTTAAACAGAAACTAATTTTCTCATGGTTCTATCGGCTGCACATTTATTGAGGTGCCAGTGGGGTAGGCTTTCTCTGAGGTCCTTAAGGGAAAATCTGTCCCAGGCATTTATTTGCCTTTTAGATAACTGTTCTTTAGATTAGTGATCCCAGGGCACCAGGGACCAGCGTTGGGGAAGACAATTTTTTCACAGAAGCTGAGGGACAGGGGTGTTTCAGGATGAAACTGTTCCACCTGAGATCATCAAGCATTAGTTAGATTCTCTTAAGGAGATCACAAACTAGATGCCATGCAAAGCGGTTCACAAGAGGGTTCGCGCTCCTATAAGAACCCAATGCCTCTGCTGATCTGATGGGAGGCAGAGCTCAGGTGGCATTGCTTGCTGGCCTGCGGCTCACCTCCTGTTGTGCTGCCCAGTTCCTAACAGGTCTGGTCCATGGCCCAGGGGTTAGGGACCCCTGCTTGAGGAGACTGCCCTTTAGATGACTAGCATTTTCATATACATCATCCCTCTGAGCACAAGCACCCCAGTGTCTCTCTGCATGTTCTAACCTCCCGTTTTCATAAGGACCCAGGTTAGATATTAAATTAGGACTCACCCTAATGTCCTCACTTTAACTTAATCACCCCTTTAAAGGCTCTATCTCCAAAAATGGTCACGTTCACAGGTACTAGGCCATGGGCTTTCATGTGTGAATTTTAGGGGGAAATTCAGCTCACAGCACTCAGGTTTAATAGTAAATTAACAAAGTGAAGACAATTAATTCAGTCAGGGACTGAAACACATCCAGTGATGAATATACTTTTTCTCCATGACAGAAAAAAGCCATATGGCTTCTGAATTTTAATGTGAGAAATGAAGAAATGCATGGGTTATGGCTAACCATAAAAAAAATACTTAAATGTAATTCCTTCATTTGAAAGTGTTTCACTAATTTTTTAAAACTATATAAGGAATATTATCTATGCTTCCACTTTACTAAGCCATAGAATCTATGTAGATTCTACATAGAGAGTCAACAAATGATGCTACAAAGCAGCACATGCTTGAGTACGTTAGGCAACAGCTACTTGAGCAACAAAAGTCACAATTAGAGAAAGCTTAGTTCCCACTGCAAAAGAGAGGCAAATACTGCAAAAGAACAAGGGGAATTAGACTGTAGTTTTGAAGAGTCACTTGCAATTTTTATTAAATGCTGATCATTTCCA